CCTCTTCCACTGACCGTGCTCCTGCTCATACCCTCTGACTCCTCGCCTGAATAGGGGCACACTGTGTAACCTTCCCTCTGCCTCCACCTGTCTCCACTGCACTTGAAACTGATGAACATCCTGGATCCTCAACCCTCCTTGTGGAGATTCTCCTGCTCAGTGACCTTGATGAGAAGCGAAACTAAATGAATCCAAGACCAGAAACCAACAACATTTGTGAACAAATTCATGAACTGCTTCACAAAGGGAGAAAACACACAAATGACCACATTTCATTGAAAAATGGCATCTAACCCCTGGTTGAGAGCAGCCTGGAATAACTGTAAGCCAAGACTTTACAGAACTTTAGGCTAATAACTTTGCAATTCAGAGGGACGATGGGGATTTTTTGTATAAGGTAAACTGCACACATTACCCTAAGGAGAAAATCTGAATACCCAAAAAAACTATGTACAAAAACAGAATGAAAGCTGTTAAAGGCCTACTCCTAAGGAAAGTATTGAGCCCCCGTGACTTTAATAGGCAATGTTTTCAAAGAGCTGATCACTGTGGTCATAAACGCTTTCCAAACATGGGAAAATATGGAAAGATAATTATAACTTATTTTGTGAAGCACGTGTAAGTCTTGATATTTAAACCTGACAAGGGTAAAATAAAAACAAAGACGAATACTATTTGTGAACGCTGTAGCAGAAAAGACCAGCTAGTCATCAAAATTTATGTTCTCCCTTCCACAGTAGACAGACATTGCTGGAAAATCACTGTTCCGCCAGACAATACCTTCCCGAGCCATCGGCGCTATTTTCACAGGGAAATGGGAACAGACGTGATACGCTAGTGTCCAGGTGGAGGCTTGTAACACAGGCGGGTGGGCCTTTTCATTCATGCCTCCCACTTGCTGGCTCGGTACAGAGGAAGAGGAGGCTATGGCCTGTGAACCTGCTTTTGTAAATAAAGTTTTATTGGAACACAGCCATGCCCCCTTGCTGACTTCTCGCTTATGGCTCTTTTCACACTGCAGTCGCTGAGAGCTGAGCGGTTGTGACAGTTTAAATAGCTTAGCTCATTTACTGTCGGCCCTTGAAGAAAAAGTGTGCAGCCCTGCTCTAGGGGTGGGTGAAGCCGCCAGAGGGAAGGAGCCTGTGTGCTTGAAAGATCTGCCGTTAAGGAAAAGCCTCCCTCGACCGTTTATGAACAAGACATAAAACTTCTAGTGTTAGGCTGCTGAAATTTTGTGGTTTAGCAGCTACTGTTATCCTAACAAAGAGATGCGAATCTCAAATAAAATACCAGAAAGTTCTAGAAAACAATTGTATGTGGGATTTTTTTCCCCCAGAAATGCAAGATAATTAGGAAAGACAGCAATGCCACATTCCCCACGTGATCGTCTTTTTGTGCACGTTGAAAACATTAAACATTTTTCAAATATTTATTTATTTTTGAGAGAGAGAGGGAGAGAGAGAAAGAGAGAGGGAGGGGCAGAGAGAGAGGGAGACACAGAATCCGAAGCAGGCTTCAGGCTCTGAGCTGTCAGCACAGAGCTCCACGTGGGGCTTGAACTCACAAACTGCGAGATCATGACCTGAGCCGAAGTCGGATGCTTAACCCACTGAGCCACCCAGGCACCCTGAAAGCATTTTAAGAATTAAGCATCCATTTTATACAGAAATACTTCCTTGGAATACCTATCTATACCAAAGGCTAATGGCATATAAAGAGATATATGAGTGAAGAAATCCCTATTTATGATAGAAACAGAAAAATATTATCATCAACATAACAAAAACATAATGTATAATATAAAACCGTATAATACTGCTTGAAGCACTGGCAACGTACCAATAATAATTTTATACTATGTCATATATTAATAGTTGTTAAATTGTATAGTGAAATACTGTCTATTGTATATGAAATAACATAAATTGTGTGCCTTATATAATTCACATATATAATTTTATATATGACATACATTTACATATAACATATTATATGTACAGTAAAATATATATTATTAGGTTTACATAATACAGTATATCATACTTTAAAATTTATATAAAACTCAATTTACAAGTATATAATTTGTAAATAAAGCATGAAATTTGGATATGACATATGTTATGAATATGCTGTATACAATGTTCTACATGATGCTAGTTATATAATACATTAATAAAAGCTTGATGTTACTTTTCAAGTATCAGCCAAGGATCAGTGCACCAAGGCAGGAAAAAATGCAGCAGGAGACAAATTTTCATTAGTTTTAGGAGCAACTATTGGAAATATGGAGAAACCCTTCAAGGTTATGAAACGTGCAAAATTAACAGATTTCCTATAGGGTGCCAATAATTGATGTGACTTCACTTAAAAAAAAAAAAAACTTACAAGGGAAATGACAGAGGAGTTGAAGAAATGGGAAGAGAGACTGTATTTCTGTCTCAGAAGAATTGATATATTTTTTTAATTTTTTTTAACGTTTTATTTATTTTTGAGACAGAGAGAGACAGAGCATGAATGGGGGAGGGGCAGAGAGAGGGGGAACACAGAATGAACAGGCTCCAGGCTCCTGAGCCGTAGCTTCCCCGGAAGCCAGCCGACCAGCCGGGGCTTCCAGAACCCATGGACGAGAAAGGCTCGTGACCCTGAGCCGAGGGAGGTCGGATCTTAACCGACTAGGCCAGGCTTTTTAAGGTGTGATATATTTTAAACGTAAAAATGCACCATCATGGGTGGCTGGTGGCTCAGTCAGTTGAGTGTCTGACTCTTGAGTTTGGCTCACAGATACCCGCTCTCGCGTTTACCCGTGAGAGATTAGCCCCATGGTGGAGCCTGCTTAAGATTCTCTCTCCCCTCCCCCCGCTCTCCTCTCTTGTGCTTTCTCTCTCTCTCCCTCAAAAAAAAAAAAAAAAAAAAAAAAAAGGAACCATCAACTAATGTATAAATTTGCTACAGAGAGAGGGTGCCTGGGTGGCTCAATTGGTTAAGCGTCTGACTCCGGCTCAGGTCATGATCTCATGGTTTGTGTGGCAATTGCCCATCTTCGAGCTCGTGCTGACAGCTCACAGCCTGGAACCCGCTTCAGATTCTGTGTCTCCCACTCTCTCTGCCCCTCCCGCTCTCTCTCTCTCTCTCTCTCAAAAAAATAAACATTAAAAAAAATTTAAAAAAATAAATTCACTGCAACCCCAAACAAAAATCTAACAAGACTGAAACTGGCATAGGCTAAACTGATTTTAAATTTCACCCAGTATATACTTGTGAGAATAAGCCAAGAAACATTAGAAATATCAGACCAGTGCAAAGAAACTTGTGAGATAGATACTGAAATACATTGTAAAATACATCAGTAAAACTGTGGAAAAACAGAACTAGCAGTGTCTTTTAAACTACACACTTAAATAATTTTGTATGCCGTAAGGCCTGAAATATAAAAATGAAATATTAAATGCTAGAAGACAACAGAGGTGACTCACTCTAGATTCCTGAGCTAAGAAATGTTTCCAATAATTGATAAATTCAGAACCCACAAAAATTACTAGATCTAACTATATAGAAAATAAAAACAGCTTCTAGGCAAAATATACAAAAGGCAAAGGACAAACTGGTAAAGATGATTGTGAAAGACTGAGGGTTAGCATTATTAGTTTTTTCTATATAAATAGCTTTAACAAAGCAGGAAGGGGAGAAAATGCCCAGCCAATAGCCACGAATTGCCACTGCCACGAAATCACATGGAAAAATAGAATCTCACCAAAAACCCAAAACTGCAAATTGAGATCTTTCCCCTTATCACATAAAATCGATGATAGATTTAAGCATATGGAATAGAAAATGTTAAGAAATGAGGAGATGCCCCATGGAGATCTTTTTCCTGTCCTAGATCTTATCAGAGTAGAGACAGACATAGCACCCAGTTGGGTGGTCTTGGCTAGTCCAAGTTCAAAGGCATGGGATATTCAGTGTGGAAGGAGAGAGTAAAGAGAGAACGTCACAATGGAACAGTAGGTGGGCACTGATGGGTCACCATGTCATCTCTCCCAGAGCAGAGATTTTCATATTTACAGGTTCCAAACCCAAAAATCACATGGCTTTTGAATGGTTGGGTGACAACAAGATTTTAGAATGGGGGATAATACGTCCGATGACAGGTTTAACATTGAACTTAAGTGCTTGATAAAATATCTTCACAAACACCTTTTGACAGTGGGTTGAAACGTTTAAATGTGTGTTGCTTATTAAACATCAATAATCCTTAGAGCTCCTGGTGGTCATCACTGGAAGAAAAATCAAGTTCACCTATGGGAATGCTGAGTTCCCCTTTCTCTCCTCTACCACTGTTTTCCCAGTGCACTTGGGCTGTTTGCATCTACTTGGTCTCAACGATTTTATAGAGCTTATGAAAGAATGAATGTTTGTGTTCCCTCTGTAAGTATTTGTACTTCTTCATCCCTGGGGCCCCCATGAGGATTGTTACAAAGAATTTTCACACATGTCTATAATCTGAACGTCACTCCTGAGAGTCTCTGAGTTGGGCTAGGCTGGTGTCATTATCAGCATCTCAGAGAGGCGAAGGGACCTGGGGAAGCCCCAACACACAACAAACAGGGCTTAGAGTTCAGGTCTTTTGATTCCAGTCCAGTGTCCTTTCTGCTCTACCAGTCTTCTTCCCTCTAGAAGAGGAGGGCTATAGGGGGCTGTGACTCCTAAGTGATAGAACCTTGCAGGGGAGAGGTTGGGAGAGTTCCATCAATTCAGGTTCTCCACCTGCTTGACTAGGACAACACTGATTGCTGTCAACCTGACCTTTGTAGGGTGAGTGGGTGGGAATCTCGTCCTCACTCCTAGGACCTCTGGTTTTGGAGACCACTCTAGGACAGCAACCCCTGGCATGACTCTTGTCTAGTGAGAGGCCCCGCCCCCAGGGCCCTAGGCAGGTCAGAGCCTTGGCTGCCCTCAGATCTCAGAGCACACAAGAGAAGCATGCCATGGGTTCTAAGTACCTTTTATGGCCTCTTTCACAGCAGAGTCCACGGGAAGTATGTTCTTCTCCACCAACTCCAGTGGCCCTGGCCGGAGAGCAATCTTTTCGTTGAGATCATCCGCAAGTCGGGCTCTCTTCAGCTTCATCTGAGCAGTTGGGATGGACCTCTCTGTAGTGGAGGCTAAGGGGTTGAAGCACAAAGAATCTGTTCTAGAATGCGACATTGTTTCTGGTTTGGGGGTTTTGCTTTTGTAAGTGAAACTTTGAGCCACGTTGGGCTCTAATAATTTTCCAGTGCAATCATCATCACTTCACACGGATTAGCAGCAAAGACTAGATTCTTCCAAATAAAAGCAAATAGAGAGGCACAGAAGAGTTAGAGAAATGCATTTGGCGACAATTCTTTAAAAAAAAAATGTGCGATTTGGTGATTCTGTGAACAGGCAATCCATGGGATCTACATTGCTTGCTGACCCTAAGCTGCAGCACTTGAATGTACATCCTGTCTCTATATTGCCTGGCACAGGATAATCCAGAAGCAAATATTACCTAGTAATGTAATTACTTGCAGTAGTAGGACTTCTTAAGGGGTTTAGATGTGGTGATGTTGTGATACTACCTGATTCAAATGTCAAAGTCAATTGTCAAAGGAAAAAAAAGTCCCTTTGAAACAGTTACTTAATTAAACGGGGATCTTTAACACTGAATTTATCCAACAGGCAGTTTCTCATCATCTGAGGGTGACAAAGGTCACCAAGAAGACCTAAATCACCCCTATATTCCTCTTTTGGTTAGTCCCCAACTTATTTCTGTGTAAGAACTTGGAGGAGAATTTAGTCAACTGGTCATTGCTGTAAGGTAGAACTGTTAAGAGGCCATAAAAATTTGTACCTTTCCTCTCAACTCTGCAGTTTTAAAAGGGCAGATATTTACAGACCAGCCTTCCAGCCCTATTGTTCTGTTATTATCAACCTACTAACCCAGGCCTAGTGTCTGGTGGCTGATCTAGAAATCTCCAACCAGGAGCAGTCTAGGGACGCTGTATGGTTGTAACAGGTCAGATCTTGTCTAGAAGCCACATCTTCAATGCACCTGATGCAAGGTAGAGACTACATCAGTACTCCAAACCAAAGAACAGGTGCACTCGAGCCTCAGTCCTCCCCAAAACATCCCCTAATCCTTCCTTAGGTCATGGCAAGGACTTCTCACTGGATACCCTGCCTCAGGGATCTTTCTGATTGGTCCTACACATCAATGCAGGATTAATCTTCAGAAAACACTCCTCTCTCGCATTCCCCTGAATGATGTTCTTCTGTCTGTCAGTCTGGCTGTTATGTGAGTGGAGATTCTCCATTCCCAAACGACTGTTCCAGCGACCCCGGTCCTCCCCCTTCTGTCCTGCATGTCTTAGTGGGTTCACCTTTGTACCTCTGCTTAGTTTCCTTGCCCTGGAGTGCTTCCTACCTTCTCCCTACCAGCAGCCGCCTACTATTCGGGTCTCAGCACAAAGCCTCTCTACTTCCTCTGTTCTTACCTGCCTCTTTTGCTGTGACTGCTTCTAGCACTCATGGCCATGGCCCTTGATCTTCTACTACTGCTACTAGAACTAGACCATGAGCCTTGGGAAGGAGGGATCATTTTGTACCCCAGCAGATCCTTGGTGCTCTAGGCCGTTAATCCTCAATTTCTGAGAGGATCACATGGGAACCATCAAGGACATGCAACTGAACTGGGGGCCAGGACAGCTCACAGTTTCGTTTAATTGAAGCCTGTGATGAGTTTGGGGCGTCTGGGTGGCTTAGTCGGTTAGGTGTCTGACTCTTCATCTTAGCTCAGATCTTGATTTTGGGGTCGCGAGTTCAGGCCTCGTGTTGGAGCCTACTCTAAAAAATAAAGAGGGGTGCCTGGGTGGCTCAGCTGGTTAAACTTCTAACTTTGGTTCAGGTCATGATCTTGCGGTTCGTGGGTTTGAGCCCCACATCAGGCTTTGTGCTGACAGCTCAGAGCCTGGAGCCTGCTTCAGATTCTGTGTCTCCCTCTTTCTCTGCCCCTCCCCTGCTCATACTCTACCTGTCTCTCTCTCAAAAATAAATGAAACATTAAAAAATAAAAAAAAGACAAGACCATGATGATGTAGCAAGTAACATTTCTCATGCTTTTTTTATTATAGTATTATTATGTACTTGTCCTCCCTAAGTATGGAGAATGCTAAAAAAAAGGTATATAAAAGACAGTGGAAGCACTGAGAAACTCTGTTTTTAATAGGTGGATGTCTTTCTTAACTATTTATACTTATTATTAGGGCTATGTTTTTGTTTTACACCCATAGTGGGGCTCGAACTCACAACCCTGAGATCAAGAGTCAAACGCTCCCCTGACTGAGCCAGCGCCAGGTGCTCCAGGGCTGTTTTTGTTTGTTTGTTTGTTTGTTTTGTGGTTGTTGTTTTAATCACAGCTTCGAACTGTAAATACCATTCACGTATGTTTTTTCATCCCTGAGCCTGACCATACAGTTTTGTTTTCTGGTCTCTTTCACTCAACATCATCTTGGAAGACCTCTCTCATTAAATCATTTTTCTGTGAAAGCCTCGTTTGCAGTGGCTGCAAGGTATTCAATCACATGGATGATGCAGAATTAATTCAGCCAATCCCCTAGAGTCGGACATTTCCCTGTTTTCGATGTTCCAACATCTAAAGTAATCCCTGAATAAGCATCACTGTATATATCCAGTCTAGCAGATAGGCACGTCTAGTTAACATGCTAGAGATTTGTTACTGGCTAAAGGGCGGGCATGCTTTAGAGGAATCTGGTACATGGCAGGGAGAGACAGGCCCAGAGATGGCACAGTGGAGACTGGAGCCCAGCCTATACCTTCCTGATCAGACCGTCTAAGTGGCCCTAAAACAACTCAAATGACCATTCTGGAAGATCGGGGGACGCTTTCTAAGAGGGCTTCACAAACATATAAAGAAAAGGACTCTGGCACAATGGCCCACCATTCGATGGCATCCGGGTTAATGCTTGGGTGCAGCCTCACCTTGAAGTACGTGCATATTAACCACGTCCGCGCAGTCAGGCCTGTTTCTGACCTTGTGCTTCAGTGCGTCTTCAGTCTGCAAGCACAAACAAAGAACAAGTTCCACTGTGGACCTCAGACAGCTGAACTGCCTAGTTTGGGGCTTGAAAAGAACCCCGATTTCTCTCGAAAGGGGAAGGCATTCCTCAGAACCTGCAAATCTCCCCGGTCTCCTCCATTTTGATGCGGGAAGATTTACAAAAGCCTCTCTGGTCATTTCAGGATGGAAAAATTCAGTGAAGAGGTAAGAAGCCTGGGTCCACCCTCAAAGGCCGGGCAGGTATGTGTTAATAAAATAATAATAAAGCTCAGATGATACTAAGCTGCCTGTGTTATAGTCCATTCTATTCCAGGGACTCTTAAAACAGCCACAAAACTGACTATGGTTAGAGACGAAATGTATGAGTCCATCCAGTGTAACATGACAATGTATGCCCTCTCTCTTAGGACCCATGGAAATGTAAAGGCTGCCATTCAGAAGCACGGTGAGTTAGAAGGATGCCCAGAGATAATTTACTGAGTCCCACAGTCTTCTCGATGGTGGAGTTGTCTGTGGGGACAGTGTGGACTCTGGCAGGGCACACCCGGACCTCAGGCCCTGATTTCCAGTTCTGGGTTTTTATGCCACTCTATTGGATCTCCTATTTGCCCCCTGAGAGGGATCTAGAGATCACTCCAGTTCTGATCAAAGATAGCTGTTTTCCAGGGAACAGAGACCACAGCCTCTCCTGCACAACTTTAAAGAGGTACAGAGCTCTGCTCCTTTCTCCACCCACAAAGTAGCCGTGAGGCTAGGATAGGTGGACAAAGAAATCCCAGGACAAAGGCACTCCCCCCGCCCCTCCACCTCCCTGCGTTTCCTTCTCATACGGGGCTGATGCCGGCTAAATAGTATTTATTGTATTACTGATAAGTTCAGTTTGCAGAGATCTGCTATGAAGGTGCAACATATGTGCCATTTATGCCCCCTCCTGAATGTTAAAAAGAAAACCAAAAGAAACAAACAACAACAACAAAAAACCAGAAAGAAAGAGAAATAAACTCAATGCCTTTTGCCTTGAAGTCGCTGTAGGTCATCTCTGTATGCACAGCCTGTATCTTATCACTGAATTGGATTTTTAAAAATCCTATTGTTAGAAAGGACTATAAAAGGCTTTTGGAAACCTGACGTCTACAGCATCCTTGCAATGATCTTCCCAACATCAGAAAGACTGGAGACGTGTTTTTGTTTTTGGGTTTTTTTGGAGACTTTTTTTAAGGTAACAAATAGTTTCAAAGCTAAATGTGGTTGATCACATTTCCAGTCTTGGGTACACAGGAGTAAGGTCCCCTACAGCATGTGTGTGTGTGTATGTGGGGCAGGGCACGTATTAAGTTTACTGTGGAAATTCTACCTGCTTGAGCCAAAGCTCAGCACTCAGAGATCTATACCCTGGAGTCTAAGTTCAGAAAGAAGGGCAGCTTGCCAAAAAATTACCTTGTCACTATCCAAATGTTTTCTTTGCTCATGGAATTCAGTTGGGCTTTTCAGTGCTGCAACAGAAAGACAGAGACGTGAGCAGAGGCGGGCTGAGGACACCAAGCAGCAAAATAGTATCTGCCGGTGTGCTTGCGGAGCTGTGCACAGTATGGGCGTGAGCGCCTTTATTAGGCCATAAGCGATCGGAGAGGAGAGGACTGGAGGATACCAGCTTCCCGGAAGCCACAGGATACAGAGGCAGGTGGAACCGAGGCCGAAGACAGGAGGAGCAGCAAAGGCAGGATGTGCAACAGAAAGAGAAGTGGGGGAGACAGAGCATTCGAGGTCCTGAGGAAACACGGGGGCCTGTGGAAGACTAGGCACAGAAGAGATGCTCCAGAGTGAGGGAGAGGGGTGGATGGGGTGACTAACGCCCTCTTTGATTTTGCTCTGCCCTTGAGTGCAAACGTCTGGGTAGAGGCTGCGCACCATGGCAGGTGCGTCCCAACCCGTAGGAAGGGACACGTACTGTGGATAAGGTCGGTGACTGGTTGGACAGGAACATGCAACTGAGGGTGCTGAGTGAGAAGCACAGAATCAGACTTTGAGGGCTGGAAGGGACCCTGGAGATAATGAAATAAACTCTCACCCTGAACAAATGGGGCAATAGAAGTCCACAGAAATCGGATGACTTACCCAGGGTCACACAGTTAGGGCTAAGAGCCTAGGTCCTCTGACGACCTCACTTCTTTCAAGGCGTATCAACAAAATACGCCAAAGTAACAAAATATGTCAAAATATTAACACCCAGGAGACACAGGCACCGGTCAGGCAAAGCACATGGCAGCCTGGGCCCGATGCTGCTTGCATTCCTCCCTCTTGCTCCTGCTCACGATTTGAAAGCAGCTCTCCACCGTGATGGGGACTGTCTTTTGACTTAGCAAAGAAGTAGAACATCATTCAGCAAAACTCCGCATTTTTAAGGAGCTTTCCCGATCCCCAGAAACAATTGATAAGGAGCCGCACGCAACCACTGTTTGTAACAAGCGAGGAGCTTGGTCAGTGGTTACAGAACCACACTGAGTACTTTTCTGAACTGTTAAGTCTGGGCAAGCCAATGAATCGCATGATCCGGAGTTCTAATACTGCTCCTGCAGATGTCCACTCTTAAGTGGCAGGCAATGAAATCTTCTTCCAAGCTTTGGCCAGCTTAAAAAATTGGGTTTCTGGACGGATTGGCACTTGGGGCTGTGTGTGTGTGATGCCTTGTTTGGTCTTTAAGGTCATGCTAAATTTGAGCAACATGTTCAGGAGGGCTCTCTGGACATCAAACAAATGGCACTGCAGTCCTGGCAACTGGTCAACCCCGTTATCGTCTATGGAGGGCACTGCTTGGGAAGCCACTAAGGCACGCTCCCTCTCAGTCTCCCTGCCTCACCTGGACATTAACAATGTTGACCAAAGGAACATGCTGAATCGCCCCAGCTGGCTAAGAATACTGGACAAGAGCACCCTCCTCACTTTGAGCAGAGATTAAGATGCTTCCCTTCTTATAGGAAAAGTAACAGAATACGTTGCTTAAATATCACATTTCCCAATGATCTAACACCAGTTTCTCTTTGCTGCTTTCACTCTTAAAATGGGCTTCTTTGCAAACTCTGCCATTTCACATGACTCCCCCCCCCCCCATTTGTCCCCACTCAGTAACTCTGGGAAATCATCTGGAGAAACATGCTGTTCAACCACATCGCTCGTGCATTGCCTCTGATTCAGGTCTATTTGCCATCCTTTGAAAGGAGGCTCGTCTTTTCCTACATTTGATCATAGTTGCAATTTACCTTGATGGAGTTCTGAAAACAACTCCTGTTTCCCCAGGTAACCAGATCTTGCAAGTCTGCTTGAAGTCCGGGGGGGCCCTGGTGAATCTGTACGATCTCAATGGATAGGTCTTCACCTCCACCCTATAGTCTGGCAGTCATCTAGGCATTACATATCGATGTTGGCCTAGTCACTTCTCTAATCCAGAAAGGAAATGATCTTTGTGTGGCTGTACTAAGTGGTTAAAAAGAATGAACACATCCTTCTCCTTAAGCAGCAGCTCTTAAGGGAACAGTATGAATCTATCCTGAGATACCACTTACATTCCAAACTCGATTGGTTTTAATTGGGTTTAGGAATTAGGAGGAATTTATCTGGTTCTCTTGCTCCCAAGGCTCTTCAATTTCTATTAGCATAGCTTATTGAATGTTCTAAGAAACACTGCATTTCCTGTATCTTAGCTTTGGAGTGAGAGCTGTAATTCATCACTTCTTGGTGTTAACAACTCCCCCCGTGAAATGATCTGCATAGTCCGGGTCTCTGATGCCAGGAACACAAAGGTCTTCTGGAACCTTCTATCACAGGGTGGGAGATGCTATGTCCACTTGGCAAGGGCTTGGGAAGAAAGCCAAAGAGGTCCCTACACTGCATTTTACCACACGCTCTTCCCCTCAGGGCTTCAGAGATGTTATGTGGGGTACTGGCTTGAGGTCACACCATGGAAAACTGTCCTGTCACGGTCCTGTGATTGACATTTGCTTTTTTCTGTGACTCGAGAGAATGTGCATTTTAGCCATTTCCCCTGAGGGCCAGAGAAAACCATATCACAACCCCCCAAGTCGACTCTTTGGAAAATAAATAAAGGACCTCTTGCTGCCAGCCCTGGGACTATCAAATGGCAAAATTTTGTTTTACAGGGACATTGACATTTAAGATTGAAAAGGAATTTGGATTTCTAAATTAAAAAAAAAAAACTAATAAGTCAATGTGATTTCAAATTAGAATACGGTTGTAAATTCAGTCAGCCGCATAGCTAACTCGTTCTCCCTGGAGGAAGATTAATCACTTCTCACAAGGGAATTCATGTTTTCGCCTTGGAGTTTGGTTACGGGCTATTCCTATTTCGGTCCTGTGGCTCCAGCTAATTTGGGTCAGCTGTGTGTATAAACATTTGCTTACTAAAGCTCAGAAAAAAAGGTCCTAAGAAAGGCCAGGCCCCCTGCTGTCCCCGGCTCTGGACTCTACAGGAGCCCAGGAAAAGGAGAATGCAGGTCTTGGGGCCCCTGGGGAATCAGCTAAGGGAAGGGGCTGACTCTCCAGTACAAGGCGGGGGGCCTGATGTTGACAGCAGCTCATGGGGTCGCCCCCTCCCAGGCTTGCAGGACAGAACCCAGCTCCTCAGTGTTCCAGAGGAGGACGAAAATGCAGCCTCAAAGGGCTGGTGTCCTGGGACACCAGATGGAACAGTGGTTCTCAGCGTGTGGCCCCTGGATGGGCTGAAGAAATGCCAATTCTCAGGCCCCACCCAGACCCACAAAATCAGAACCTTAGGGGTGGACCCCAGGGATTTGTGCTTTATTGAGCCCTCCTTGCCGATGGTGACGTACAAGTCTGAGAGCCTTGGCTCTGGAGTTCGTAAGGCCAGTGTCTCCTGATCTCGAGTCTTTGGGAACATGGGAGTCCAACCAGGGAGTGACGAATTTCTAGGACCGATTTTCAGGATTTCAAGTAGCTGAAGAAGAGGGGTATGGGTGCCCAGAGAAAGGCCAACTGGGGCTGACGGAACTGTCACTTTTCAATGTTGCTACCTAGGATCCTAACGGCATGCTTTTGACATGGCTGTTCTCCCCAAAGACCAGCTGTTCAGTTGAAATGCCATCAATTCATCAAAAACAGACTGATTCATAATTTACAAATTTAGGGTTCTTTGGGCGTGGGGGGCGGGCGGAGACAAGACAATTCGAAACACAGGATCCATGGCAGCGTGGAGTACAACTAAAGTCGTTTTGGGTGACCGAAAATTTGGGAACTACCCTTCCGGGCTCCATCCTTGCTTAGTCTCCTCAGACATGTCTGGGAGTCTTCCTGCTCTGTCTCCCACCTGTAAAATGGGCTTAGAAATGCTTCTGTTTGCCTCACTTTTAAAGACAAAGCGCATCGTGAGTGGCTGTCTTCCCGAGATACGTGCTCTGCGTAAGTGGTCATGCTTTGGAAATGACATTCCCTCTTTAGATTGGCAATGCGCTGCCCATTTGGTATCAAAGGACAGTCTCAGGAGTCTGAAAATGTAGCTTCGTTACATTTAAGACCTGGCCACACGCTTGAGGCAGTTGAATGCAACATGCGTGAATACTTTGGGGATTTCTCAGAAGACGACTGTGAAGACAAATTCAAAGGACGCCTGTCATCACTGGCTTACTGGTTTCCGAGGAACAAGGAACCAGAAAATGGGAGGGGAAAGAAAACATTTAGGGTTGTTGACCACCGCCCCCCCCCCCAACCCTGTATGGGCTTGCCAGGAAAATCCACAGTGCCTTTTCCTGACTCTGAATTTGACATGTTAGAAAGGAGAGAAGAGGCAGACAGATTAAAACCCTCGTGCCGTGTTCTGCTGAAACAGCCAACAGTGTGTGCTGGGGTGACGTAGGGAGAAGCCAAGTCAGAAGGATGCACTGAGAAGAGGAAGACACACTTTGCCCAGGCAACTTCTCAGAACTACCAAGAAGCTGCATGTGGTGTGGGTACAGGAGTTGCCCCAGTCATTCTCGCTGCTATTCAGGAAAGGCACCACAGAACTCAGGGATTTACCAGGGCTTTGCGGTAAGTATGAGGCTGCTGTGGCCGGAATTTAGTCTGCAAAACAAATAAAGGCAGCACCGTTCATAGACAGCTCATCGTATCTTTAAGTCCATTTACAATGATCAGGTCGTGGACCCAAGCTGCCCAGACATTTCATCCTGGCCGGCGGTGGCTTTCTCGGACTTTCCGTGGAGATGCCGCAGCCACTTGGGGCCACCCGTGTATGTGGTTCTCTTCAGCTCTGTTTTCCGGGAGAATGGGCCACTTGTTCCGTCCTCTCCCGCCTGGGTTCTTACAGATTAGCCCCGCTTTACTAGCAGAGGGAGAGGGAGGGAGAAAGTAGTTCTTTCCTTCCGTCCTCGAAGATCTTCAGTCCCACGCAGCGGTGCATGGTCGTCTGATATCGCTACTCTAAACGACCAAGCAGGGGTGATCTGGGGCCCCTTCCAGACAGTAAGCATCTGAAACAGAACTCACGTCTGAGTCCTCTGTGCTCCACAGGGCCCTCCTCACAGCAGATGGTCAAAATACTACTGAGCTGCCGTGATCATTCATCACACCTACTCCACAGAGCTCATCACCCTTCTGCACTGAGGCTTCCCAAGTGGTTGGAATAAGGTGGTGTTAAGACTCCACCCAGGAGAGTGATGCCCCAGGAAAAGAATGGTGATGGAGAAAATCTGCAGGAGAAATGGTGAACAGATCCAAGCCCCACAGGTCCACAGGGGAGG